TGAGCTGCCAACACTCACAAACATCATTTACCTACATTTGATTGATTTTTCAAACTTATAACTGAACTTATGAGGCAATTTACCTCTAGGGAGTGGCCCAGCCCTTCGTATATTTTTCTGTATGTGGCCCTCGGTGAAAAAAGTGTGGACACCCCTGGTATAGGCGGTGTCTTTGATCGGAAACAAATCATGGACGTGTACTTAGGTACTTTCCACCACTGCCTTTTAATGTAGTCCTTAAAAGAAACCTTCCTTCTAGCTCTTTTTCACATTTTCTGGCTGTGACACTTCCCACCTCTGTGAGATGTGTGAGGTGAAAACAGAAGAGGAGGGTGGACTTCAGCAGGGGTCCGAACGTTAGTTCAACGCTGTCTGGCCTCGCTGGGCTTCACTGAGCCTAACACTACTGATCCTGGATCAAAAGTATCAGAAAGCTGAGACTCCGCGGGCTCAGGTGAAGACGATGTGGCCGTGAGTTTTATCAGATAACATTGTACCTCCTGGTTTAGCCGTGGAGATCTGGGGAAACTAAAAATAGGTCAGATTGGGCTCTAAATCTGAATCAGAAATCCTATATTCGGCATTACATCGGTAAAGGTACAATGCAGATTAAGGTAGAAAGAGTACATATAAAGCCCCTGATAGACCCCCACAGAATACAGACTATTGAAATATTGAGCAATAAACCTGCAATGTTCAATACAAGCACCTGTTACAATTATACGGTGCAATAATTATTATTATGTAAAAACATAGAACATTTTATAAATGGCCCTACATTTTTATAAAGTCTAATCCTTTAAAGTGACCCTATATATATATATATATATTTGAATAATATAGTGTAGGACCATACCTATATAAGGCATATTTATACTTTTTATTTTTCATAATACCAAACAGATCATGCATTTTAGCCATTCCTCATTTCGCTCAATTTAACACTGTCTTTGCATCATGGGCTGATTCTGTGAGAACAGCACCATCTACAGGCCTGGCATATGTACTACAGCGTCTCCAGCACTTTCCAACGGCAATGTCCGTGGCTGTCTCCTCCTGATTGGTGGAGTTGGCCCAATAGCCGTAGCGCCACTTCTGTGACGTCATAGAAGTGTTCAAATCTGGATCACTCTGTATCAGATCCGTTGCAGCCCCTTTTTAAGAGATTTGGGTATGGAGGGAAATAGAGAGGGTTGTGTTTTCTGACACTTGGTGAGTTCCCTGGAACACCGGGGACACATGTTCATGTAGAAAAGACGTACAAGAGTGTATTTTGCATGATAGGTCACCTTTAATATGTCATTTATGTCACTTGTTTTTTCTTAAATTGCTGCTAGTTTTTAGCCATACGTATTTTGTATTGCATGCCTTTTGTTTACTTGATAGGCCACTCCTTGTTATAACACTGTAAATTAAACGTTGCAATAATAATTTTAATGTCAAAACATAAAACATTTTTATAAGGTCTCATACTTTAATATGTTATCTATCTTTCCTGAAATTGCTGCTACTTTTATGCCATAGCTGTGTACTTATTTGTCTTTATTTTTATTGTATTACTAACGTGTGCTTTAATTTCATATTATTGCATGCCTTTTTTACCTGCTAGGCCACTCCTTGCTGTAACGATGTACATTTCCCCGCTGTGGGACTAAAATAAATTCTGCATCTGATTCTGAAAAAGGCAAAAACATGTTAGAGGCCCTAGTATGCGTTTGGGGGATTTGCAGGCTGCACTATCCCACCTGCACTGCTATTTTCAGTCTCCATATAGTCGAACCAAACACATTATATTGTCTGAATAAAAAATAACACAAGTGTCAGTTGCACTTCACTCCTTAGCATTACACAGAGCCAATACATGCCTCCTGCAGAACAATCTGTTTCCCCCTGACTGTTTGCAGGCTCAGTATGTTCCTCTTATTTCTGCCGGCATACATTTACATTCTAAGCACAACTTTTTTTTACTGGAAATGTGTTTAGAAAACGTATTATCCTTGTGTTGCAGGTGGCTGCCAAACAAAACCAACACTAGCCGGGCGCTTCTGAGCGATAGCGATGTCCATTACAGTAAACTCTGAGAGGGAAATGTTATATGCATTTTACAGGACCATCAATCTTGTCATGAATACGTTAGTGTGAAATCCAGTCTCAAGCCAATGAAATGTTTGTATGACAAGTTTGCATTTCCCAGTTGGCTGCCAAGAATTTTCTTTATAAAGTTAAAGATTTTAGGTTTTCAAACTTTTCTTTAAAGTGTCCTTGTGACTCTGTATGCAAAGGCACAATCTCTCCCTCATATCTGATTCATGGTGTGAGTGTGGGTCATATCATACACCGCATGGCATGCACGCAAACTCTTATTTTTATTCCACTGTGTACTGGTATAAAATCCAGCTGGGGGAGAAAATCAAAAGAAAATACAAGAAACAAGGATTCAAAACTGTGAGAAGTGTGGAATTCAGCCAGACAAAAATACCCATTGAGATATAGTATCATGACGAACGATTATCACTGGTATAAAAGACTGGTGCAGTGATGACGTAACATCTGCCTGGTTCCTTCGAAAAAAGCCAATGGGATTTTTTTATTTGATTCTTGATTATTGCAGAAAATTTGATTTGTGTCAAAGAAATGTTTATGATGCTTACATTTTGTTCAGCAGGGTCGTCTCCAGATATTAACACCAGTTTTATGATTTAGTAAAAATCTAATGTTGGGCTATAAAGGAACTACAGCACGGTCACATGACTTCACGTCACCACCGCTAAGCTAAAGGCGGCTAATGTTGGGCTATAAAGGAACTACAGCACGGTCACATGACTTCACGTCACCACCGCTAAGCTAAAGGCGGCTAATGTTGGGCTATAAAGGAACTACAGCACGGTCACATGACTTCACGTCACCACCGCTAAGCTAAAGGAGGCTAATGTTGGGCTATAAAGGAACTACAGCACGGTCACATGACTTCACGTCACCACCGCTAAGCTAAAGGAGGCTAATGTTGGGCTATAAAGGAACTACAGCACGGTCACATGACTTCACGTCACCACCGCTAAGCTAAAGGTGGCTAATGTTGGGCATGATGACGTTTAGTTTCAGACGCTTTTTTAAGACAATTTAGACAGTCACCACCATCGGGGTATTAACTCATTTTATGTCGTAGAACAAAACACTAAAATCTCTTCAGCTTGTGTTAACCACCACAGACTTTATATCAGGCTAAAAACCAAAAACACTTTGTTCATAAAAGCATTTACTGAAGGGAACAAGAAGCGCTAAAATGCTGACTCATTTCAGGGGTTTAGGAAGTATTCCTTCAGCTCTTTGATTCATGTTTCATTAAATTATATTCTTCAGCTATCTGATCATTTGCTTACTTTGCGATTGTGTAGGTCTTCACTTCTTAATAATAAGCTAAGCTAAGTCCTGGTGGAAAGTCACTCCTACACAAAGTTAATAAGAGACCTCAAAACCATTTGTTACTTATAGCAAATAATGTGTGGGTTGTTAATACAATATGGCTCACTGTTTGCATGTGAATCTGTAGAGAAATTCCTGCGTAAAGGCTTTGCTTCTCTG